ACACTTATATTTTTAATATATAATTAAAATCCGTTATATTTTATAATTAAGTAATTAAACCATTGAAGAAAAGTTTATATTCTTTCTAATATTTCAAGGTTATTAATGAGAAGGATGAGTTTGTAATTCTTGCATGGCTCTTCTATATTTGGATATATGATGGTAAGACCACAGTCTTAGTGGATATATGATAGTATATTTGGATATATGGTGGTAAGTACCACAGGTTATAGTGCTTTAAATCCATCTTTTACTGCTGAAGACTGAGTGGGAAGTCTGTAAGTAGGGTAACCAATAATAAATTTCATAAAATGTCTATCTTACGAGAAAAGGTGATAGATGATTGTCATATGTAACTTTTTAAACTCTGAGATTTTTCAACTAAATTTTTTTGTCTCCTTTGGAAACTTCGGAGGACCATGAGGGCAAGCTGTATGATCCACAGATTGAGAAGTGCTACCTTAATACATTTCAATTTCTAGAGAAATTAATCTTAAAAAAAATCTGATCATTATTAAAACTACTTTACAGATTTATTTTATATTACAAATAAATATAGTAAATATCTAATAAACCCTCAATTATTTTTCTTTCTGCAAAATGAATTATTTAAATTTGTACTGTTTTTTTTGCTTCAAAAATGGATGATACATGCAATTTATGATTTCATGAAAGGACCAAAAGGAATCTTGTTTGCAATTTAATTATTTAATTTAAAAAAAGATTTAAATCATTTGGAATATGTGCAAGTGCATGCAATTATTATGAAGAGATTCTAAATTAAAATGTCACATAACAAATTTAGAATATGTTATGTACTTCTAACGAATGTGATTTTTTTCTTTATTTAGGAGCCATGCTTTGAATCCTAAGAAGAAGAGGACTGCACCTTCACAAAATTAATTAAAAATAACAATAATATAAATTTTACCTATTTTTTTATTTTATTTTCCTTTTGGATAGTTTTCAAATAAAAATAACCTATTTTTGTTTCTATATTCTGTGTATTGGAACAAAGAGTCGAAATCCATTGCAATATCCAATATTTTCAAAATATGATATTTTTTGAAATAAAATATATGATTATGGAATATTACATTAAAATGAAATGGTTCCTTATGTAACCTGTATGTTACACTAAAAGGCTTCATCGAATACTTGTAAAGTAATGAGCAAATACTAAGTTAATATCTTGTGTGAATGAATATTATCTTACAGAATTTTTTATTCCATAAAAATCTATCTAAAAATATAATTTTGTTGAATGAAGATTTAAACATTTTTCCCGAAGATTTAAAAAGTCGTTTGAAATAATGATAACAAAAACATTAATCTGAACCATTTAATAAATGAATAGAAAATTTGAGAACAATTAAATCATCCACAGGAATTTTGAAATAATCATCGTATTTTTGACATCAGTTAAAGAAAGAAAATCTGAGTCATTTTGATTATAGTGATAAATTAGTTCCATTAATAGTAGGATAGAAAATTAAAATTTTAAGGAGCCATTATGCATTATCAATTTTTCATTAAAAAATTTTTAGTTTATTACTACTATCATATCAATTATTAATGCTGAATTCTTTATCTTCAGTTTTTACATTCTTTTCTTAATTTTCTAGGCATAGCAGAGAAAAATATAATTATAGGATCAAGGCATTTCCAAATACATTATATTTTCTTCCTTAAATTTTTAAGATCATTCTATATTCATCATGTATTATAGACACAGTATCAGGGGATTCTGTTTCAATTTTTCAGTTAGAATTTGGGACGAAGTTGTGAAGTCATACCTACATTAAATGCTTGAATTGATTATTTGAAATATGACAAAGCAAGAGAGGGCCATCTGTCCAAGGAAAGGAATATTTTAAGGGAAACTGGTTTATATTCATGTTACACAAACATTTACACAGGCAGCCCATTCTCTAGGATTTAAATCTAGAGCCAAATGCTAGTGTTCAGCTTACTGTCTGGCTGCCTGTAGGCAATAAATGTTTTAGTAGAAGGAATACTTGAAAAATTAAATTTAGGACTAACTAATTCTTCAATTTTGTATTCAATGAGAAGGAATGTAATTTATTAATAAAGTTTTAAATCTGGGAAAATGCCTGTACAACTGTCATCTATTACTTCGATTAATTAATCTATTATTTCAATTAATGTCAGTAGCAGAAGAGATTAAAAAGCATTTATGCCTAAAAGAATTATATGTTGTAATTAAAAATGAATAATGCAATTAAGCATGAAAATAATTTTGGAAAGCTTGTGATAACTGAATTTAAGTTCATTGTTGAGTTATACCTGTAATTTTTTTTAGAATTTGAAAAAATATTTAGAATTGTTTATTGAAATAATTTCATTAAAATATTTTTTTACTGTAATCATATCCAGTTGCAGTCTCTTTAGATTACACTGTTGGGTATAAGGAGAATGATTTGGTTTAGTTTACTTAAGTATGGCAAAACACACTAGGACTATCTGCCTAAGTGGAGAAATGCCTTTGTGGAGGACTTTCGAAGGGAAACTGACAGGAAACTGACTTATATACATGTTACACATGGAGAAAACCATGAAATTACCCATACAACCAGCCCATTCGCGGGATTTGAACCTCAGGACCGAACTACCAGTGTTTCAGCGGGGGAATTCTAGAACATTACTAATTTATTGCCAAAAAACCATTAAGTCTAATACACAAGTTTTTTTTCCAGCTATTTCGTGATGCATATGTAACTTTGAGATGTCTTAAAATTCAATAAAGGAAAGTAATGCAGATGTAAGAAAAACATAAAATTTGAGCTTCTTTTTAACATTGGAAATATTTTGAAAGAAAATGTTATATATCTTTTAGAAAATCTAAGGTATTTTTCCTTAAAAAAAACTTAATATTTAAAGTTACATAAATTCCCTTTCCCCACAAATAAATAAATGCAGCATATTTTGTTACAAGCAGTAGCTGTAGACATTTCACATAAAACATATGTTCTACATGTGTAATTATTTATAGTAATATTACAATCAAAATATTTAATATTTAGGAATACATCATTTTTGTATTTTGTATAAGACAAATATGTTCTATATGCATAATTATTTGGAAGAACTTTTAAGTAAATTATCTGCAACTTTTACATATATATCCTTTAAAATTTCACATGAAAATACATGTTCTTACATAATCACTTGCAATAACCTTACAAGCAGAACACTAGTAATCTACAAATATTCCCTTTAGTAATTCATATTCAAAAATTACGATCTACTTACACTATTATTTCCTGTAATCTTTACAGATGTTTACATTGGTAAATCACATATGAAAAACATGTTATACTTACACGATAATTTCCTGTAACATTACAGACCAAAGATCTGTAACCTTTACAGGCATATGCTTCGGTAATCAACATACAAAAACTTTGTTATGCCTACAGAATAACTTCCTGTAACATTACATGCCAAACATCTGTAACCATTACAGGTATAATCTCTGTAAAGTTACTAAGAAAATTCCTGTTTTGATTACTCAAATAATCCATGGCATCCCAGTTTCCACGACTTTTCTTAGTAACTTTACAGATTTTTTTTACAGTGTACTTGCATTTAATTTAATTACTTGTTTTTAATTTATTTCTTTTTACAATTGAAATTTTGTTATTCATGATTTAATTCAAGTCACCGTTAAACATTTTTACAAATTTACATTCAAGTTACTTTAAAACAATTTTCGAAATTGAACTCATTAAGTATGGATTCACTCTTTTAAGATAATTCTACTAAAATTAATCTTAGGAGATAATATAATCAATATTTCTTTAGTAAATAAATTATTATTAACTTACTTTGCAGCAACTGCGCAAGTAGTAGAATAACTCGATTTCGCACTAAGTGAATATAAGATCATACAACATTATATTTATATAAAGAAATATATATTTTATATCATGTAAGTATTTGCAGCACATTTACATTATTAAATTTTTTTTAATTAACAGTAACCTTTGGCCCAGCATAGGAGGGATTTTGTTACTTTATTACTTATTGAGCAGTATATTAGCTTCTGTAAGTTTTTTCTTTTGTTCAGAGAAATGTAAACCACACGAATTCCTTGAGTTGCAGTATCTGCAATGCTTTGGTAAAATAATTCTCTTTAAAGGGTATAATATTTAAATAAAACAAATACTGTTGACCGTAGAAAAGGGCACCGTCAATTTATCATATATTAGTCGGTCTTCGGCCAGGTCCACCACTGTCGAGTAGGACAGCGCTCGGTAAGGAGGCAAGCGTCCGCAGTGTGAAAATAAAGGCACAGTGTATCTGTAATTGCATTTCCATTGTTCATCTGGCAAAAGGCAGCTATAACGCTGTAGGCTGCATGCTTATACTGAATTCTACTACGATTATAGACATAATAATGTACAAAAGAATATAGTAACATTCAACAGGATACTGTAATACAAATAGGCAATAAAATACGATTGAATTCACTCAACAGAACATAGCATATTAAATGAATTATAATTAATACATAGGTATGCGAATGAATTACCCAATTCTATTTTTGATTACCCGTAAAGTGTTAAATTAGTCTAGAACAAATGTAGAAAATTCATAATCATGTTTAAATCACATCTCCTATGTTATTTGTTCTGCAAAGATTTTATGGCCCTGTATGAAATGTCCATTAATATTTTAAACCTTTAGGAAGTACTGTTATGCTATAAAATACACATCGTGGTAAATTGTTGTGATCTGAGTTATTTTATTATGCAGTGCGCCTTTGTGCTGGGAGGCACACATCCATACAAATAAATACCAAGGATCTATAAGTGTCAAGTGTGCTTAACGCTGCGAATTTCACTTTGATCACATGACCATGTGTTGGTTAAGCCGGAATTCATCTAAGATAATTTAGATTACGTCATATTTTATTATGTTTATAAATGTAAGTAAACTTTTTATCTAAAGCTTTCTACTAATTTTACATTTTTCAGGTCATAATTTCACTTTGAAAAGCATGAATCATTTTTGGAATAGCTTCGGAAAACGAATGCTTGCCATTTGCATATGAGCACAGTTTCAACCAGGATGTGGCAATGACTGACGCAACTGACAGAATTATTTAAGAAAAGATAAAATTTTATGATCAAAGCTGGCGTATCCTTTGGATTTTTATATCATAATATGTTAAATAATGGTCTGTGTGTTTTATGTGGCAATAAATGTTGAAAGTCTGCAATAAGCCTGAGGAATAAAACATTTTTCGCTTTTTTTTAATAGGCATATCATATAAGTATTCTCTTCATTCCCCAATTACATATGACAATAACTTTCGGGAATCAAATTGGAAAGCAACAGTTTCTGTTTTAAGCTAGGATGTCCTTGGGTTATATAAGATATTAGAAATTTTGATTCCATTGCACATACGGCCTTCTCATGCCTAGGTTGAAAATTGTAAAGCCAGTACTTCTACCCTAAGAAGCCGCTTGCTAAAAAGCTATAAGTGTATTTGCCACATATCCAATGAAAAATATATTATTAAATCATTACTGATGAGAAATTGCTAAAGAAATATACACAGAACTTCAAACAGGATGTCACTAAGCAAGATGGAAGAAGGAAAAAACGAAAGAGTAAAACAAATGATTAAAATAACAGCTCAAATGCTAATTCGTAACTGAAAGGTATATTTTAGTGTGCAAAACAATGCACTCCCGTTTTTCAACATCTAACTTGACACGAAAAAATTAAAAAGGACTTCAAATTAACATAAACATTATATTAGTCTCAAGGGCTTCTAAGTATACACTAACCTAATTATGATATACGTGGTGATGGTTTAAAAGCCTTTTAACTTTCGACTTACTTCCATCATGAAAAGTGTTGGAATGATACATTTCCTGGCCCATAATTCCTGACATTTTGTGTGATTAACGTGATTTCTTGCGAGGATTATAAAAAATATACCCAAAAATATCCTGCTCTGATAAGCTAATTAAATTAGGCTACTCAAAGAAATTATCTATAGCTGAATTAAGCTACTTATAATCCATTCGACAAACGCACTCTGCCCATGGATTAGGAAGATTATAGGTTCCGAGTCTTTAAGAAGTTTTGTAGTGTTTTGTTACTTGATATTTTTTAAAGAAGGTGAGTCAAAGATTGGTGTTAGCAGAGATTCATGCCTAAATTTTAATAGTTCTAAAAATACCCGAAAAACAATTTTCCGAAGAAAACAAATCAAGCAGACTTTATTACAACATATCATGGCTTTACAAAATCATGTCGTATACTCTTAAGCTCAGTAAAATAATAAAAAAATATGTAAAACATATAAGCGTCGTTCATAAGTTCAGCATACGTCTAGAGTGAGATACAGGCATATGAAAATACCTTCTGGGTCACTATAACTCATATGCACGTTTATTACTGCCTGTCCAGTATATTTTTAATAGATATACAATAAAATACAATAAATGATCTATACCTTCGTGGGATTCAAATTCAGACATTCTGATTACACCAGATGTGCCTTTTAGTTTACATCACGAAGGTACTCAGTGAGTAGGAAGAAAAACCTTACATTCTCTCCCACTTAGAGAGTTATTAAAGAACAAAGCAAGAACAGGGCATCCAATCGCCAAATTCTGATGGCGACGAATTGCCGTCCACTACATTTGAGTTCGAGCGCCGTTTGTTGAGCCATTAGGTTTGTCAGAGCAGGAAACACAAGGAACCAGCAATGCCTTCGCCGGAATTCGAAAATTCGGACTTTCCGACTGCTAGCCGGTTACCAAGTCAATGGGAAAAATCTTACAAATAAAGTAAAGGATTCGGAATAAATTTTATGCGTTTAAGCTTAGTTTCTAATCTTTTGAAAGGAAAGTCTGACATTTCTGCGATGTTATTTCGATTGTTAGGTAAATGCATATGAGAAGAATTAGTATAAAAATGCTTTATTATTTTTAATAGAAATATCTAAATAGTGTTAAAACAAAGACTTTAAGGTATGAATCTAGGAATCCTTATGTCGGATTTCAAGCCTCGTGGCTTTTCCATCTTTTCACTGTGCCATATATATACATATATATAGAAAAATTTATAGGTGCTTGCATTCATTATCATAGATTACATGCCTTCTTAAATAACAAAACCTGAGCAATTTTAATAACTAAACGAAAAAGTTAAAGTGAGTAAACTAACAAAGCTTTTTATTGTCTTGCTAATAAACGACGTTTAAAACCTTTATCTATTTATTTATTTTTTTACGTTTTTAAGTTCAACATTTTCTTTCCTCTTTCCTTCCACAGTGAGTAGTTAATTTAATGGCAATGATATGTTGACGATACGGGGAGAAATAAATAACAGGTTAAATATAAAATTTTTTATAAACATGTGAAGACAGATGATTGACTGGTTGATTGATTCAACTCCAGTGAAAATATAGTTTGCTGCAATACTCCGGTCTGACAATGTTTGATGTCTGATTGTAGACATTGCTGGTTTACCAAGAGGAAGTTAAACGCACGTGCAATAAAAGCTGCAATTAATTTAGTTTAGAAAAGAAAGGATAAGAACCAGAAGTAAGTATTCTGCTGGTATTAGTTCGTTTGCGCGTTCTTGCTTCATTGTTACTCAAGTAAAATCGTACTAGTAAACCAGTCTATAGATCAGTATCAATTTTTGCTTTATTTCGGCTGTCAGTTTTTAATTTTCATTTCAGTTTTCCAAATTTACACTTAAATAAATTTTGTTTGGCTTAACTTTATGAGTTAATTTTTAAATCTCAAATAATTTTGAATACCTTGTAAATTGTTTTTTATATTTGAAATGATCTATTCCTTGAAAAGTAAATGATTTTTCATAGTGAACTTCACTTTTATAACACATGACACTAATATCAGTCGTTACGCATTTCAGCAAAGGAATCAAACATTTTTTATTGGAATTGATAAATTACATATATATGTTTAAAGCCGCTGTATGTAGGTCTTAAGTTAAGATTAAAAATGAATTTTTTTGACTTGAATTCACCCAGCTTCTGCAAAATTCTGGATTTATTTTATATAAGAGTTATTATCGTAAAATTAGGAAAAACGTACCTGATTTGCGCGTAGCTTCTAAATAAAACTCTATCGAATTTGAGAGCGATCAGACACAGGTCCCTCTTCTTCAAGAGCCTCCCGCGCAAAAAACTTTTCTTTGTTCATAATTGGCTCATACCAGTTGAATTTTAACATAGCTAATGGACAGTACTTCTGTTTTTTTTTTTTTTTTTTGCAAAAATTTAGTAACTAAGGAAACAAATGTAACTACAAAAATGAAAGAGGTGTAAAAAATTAATCTAGGATTAAAACTTGAGTTTAGTAATACAGCAGAAACAGAGAAATGGCCGAATATGGAGAGAAAAAGACTTCAAGAATCTAAAAATTATTATTTGACTCTAGTGTTCCATGCATAAAAACGCAAATAGGAAAAAAATCTGAAACTTACAATGACAAAAATATGTTCACCTAGCTCACTAATTTTAGTTCATTTAGAGAAACAAGGCTTTTAATTATCAAGAAATCAATACGAACAAATCAAGCAGACATTTTGATTCAAATCTCATAATCATTGTTTGGAAGTACAACAATGCAAAACAGAGATCGACCGAAAATTGAAAGAACTTGAGGAAAAATCGCTTGTAGCATTTAGGTACCAGCCGCATCTGTGCTTCGTTTCTCTGCAATTTCATCTCACAACTTAAACATACTTTCACGCCATTCTAGAACACATGTTTGTCTGAGTTACTAGGTGCCGATAGAAAAAATTATGAGGTCTGGCTGCAGCTTTACGAACACTGTCAATTAATTCAAGCTGGTGATGAATTATCATCCATTAACTTTTAGACTCAACAGCAGATGTACGTAAAAGGCCAGGAAACGAGAAATAGTGAAAGTGTGGCCATGCGTTTGCACAAATTTTTCAGACTCTTAAATATTCGGCTTGATGTGGTTACCGTCACAACTCAGTAACGTATGGAAGTAAAGGAAATGACCTCTACCATATTCCTCACTTATTTTTTGTAAAGTATTGACTTATTTATATTTTTCTTTTTTGAAGTAAGAGACCTAATTACGAACGTAGAAATGGATAAAACAGAAGGAAAGAAAAAATGAAATTATGTAACATCAAACGTAAACAAACTATGATAGAAGGAAAAGAGAAATGAAATACTCGTAATACAATCTTAAAAGCTAGTTTAAGCAAGCTAAGATTAGTGTACCTTACGAATATACTATTAGTGATAGTAATTATATTATAAAATTATTAAATCTTGTGGGTTTTACAATCTAACTTATCTTGAATACATTCTTGATTGAATAATAAAACGCGTTCGTGTATAAACAAAATTAAGGAAAACTAGATAAACCAGCAACTGGCAGAAATTCAAAGCAAATACAGCCATTCGTACACACAAGCAAAACGTAAGAATATGCGATTTATTAATCTATTAATTTTATCTCAGATACTTTATAATATGTGTATAACCCCTTCTTGAAATATTTTTATTTAATCAAGTGAAAGTTAACTTCCTAACGAATGTATACTGATTTTTTACTTTCTTTGCTTTACCCAAGTTGAAAGTGAAGTTTCCGAGTAATCTGGAAGCAACAGCCCTTCGGGTAAGAATTTTTCCTCGGTCCACTTTCCAGCCATGATTCAGATGTTTTCACCCGTCACGTAGTTAGGACGCCTCGTTCTACTTCCGATAGATGATAGCGCAGGAGGTAATGAGCAAAACTGTTCGTCCCATTTCTGTACGATTTAGGAATTATTACCAAAGGTTTCGGCAGCAATTAGCCTGCCCTTAATGTTGACAAAACACTATAGCAAAATTGCGAAATATTTCTGAAAAATTTCCCACACTGATGAAATTGTGTCTTTCCGGTATTCAACAGTTCAAAGACAAAGTGCCCTCTGTGGTCAAACATGCTTGAAGGAATTTACAGAAAGTAGACAAGATGAGAATAATGATCAAGTACGCACGTGCTCGATGAAAATAATATTTCATTTTCAGAGAATTTAATCCAATTAAGGTATCCAAATAATGGAACCATAGTATCCAGTAGAAATAAAAGCAAACTTCATATATAGTACTATCATAAAATAATTTTGTGTTCTGATTTTGTAATTGTCTCATTGGAATTATGATAACGGGACTAAACTGAGGTTTACAAAAATTATAAAAGTGGTTTGCAACTATTATGGAAACACGTTCTATTTTAGTGACA